CTGCTAGACGCAAGGCCGACATTCTTTGAAACTCCGGCTCCTGCAGCCACTTCCACATACGTCGAAACGTTTCCCGGCCGCTCTTGAGCTTCGACCAGGGCTTTGGATTACGTAGGAGATCACTGAGCGTTCCCTGACTACGGCAGAGTACCCTCTGGGCGAATATCGCCTGGGGTATGCTGTACCTCTTGAGCTCGGCGCTGATCCTCTGTGCCAATTCTTTCGTGTTGATCTCCTCGACCTCGCCAGCACCGTGGCCGGCCGAGGAGACCGTCTTCATGACGACCGACGTGTGTTGCACGTGCTGAGTGTGCGATATAGTCTGTTGCGCCGCCAACGATTGCTGCTGTTGCTGTTGTTGCTGCTGCTGCTGTTGTTGCTGTTGCTGTTGTTGCTGTTGCTGTTGTTGCTGTTGTTGTTGCTGCTGTTGCTGCTGTTGTTGCTGTTGAAGCTGGGTTTGTATGGGCGGGGGCGAGGCCGCCGGCACTGAGTGCGCGGGCGGGGAATGATGCGAGGGCGCGAAAGTGGCGGTCGCCGAGACGGCCGGCGGCGAAGACGGGCTAAGTGCGGCGGGACTCTGTTGTAGCCTCGGTAGGAAAGCCGGATCATAGTGCGGACTCGCGGACTTGTGCGGCGAATTCAGGGCGCTTTGACTGTAAGCGCTCTGGGGCGAGAGAGGACTCGGCTGTAGGCCCGCACCGGGCGAGGGATAATTGTGCGGTGGCGACATTCCCATCGAGGGTAGTTTATCGTACGCGTACGGCGAGCCGCCCATACCGAGGCCGATGTTACCGAGGCCGTTGTTCTGCATCACGGCGAAGCTACCGGTTACCCCGCCGGTCGTATGACCGTACACAAACTTGTCGCTCATCGTCGAGATCGGCGGTAACGGCTGCAACGGCGTCAACGTCGCGTACGAGGAGCCCGGGCTGAAGCCAGGCGGCGACATTCTTTCGGTAACCGACGTCAACGTTTGATAAGTCGGCTCCGGTTGCATCGCCCTGAAGTCCGTCGCGTCGATCATGCTCGCGACCGAGACGCTTATCCCCGACGTCGGCGTTAGCTTGCCCGGACTGAGGAGCTCCGAGTCGTCGGCGTCGTCGCGCGAGTCCACGTCCACGTCCTGAGGTGGCACGATCACCGACAGGGACTCCCTCGCGCTGCTCTGTCTACCACCACCACCGGCACCACCACCACCGCCGCCGACGGCGCCGCCGCCACCACCGCCACCGCCGACGCCGCCGCCACCGTCACCGCCACCACCGATGGCACCTCCACCGCTGCTGGTACTGCTGGTGCTGCTGGTGCTGCTGCTGCTGCTGCTACCGCCGCAGCCGCCGCCGGTACTACCACTACCGCCTCCACCACCACCTCCACTACCACCACCACCAACGACACTACCACCACCACCACTACCACTACCACCGCCACCACTACTACTACCACCACTACCGCCGCCACCACCACCACCACCAGCACCACCAGCACCACCAACACCGGCACCGTTTCCGTTACCACCGCCTCCTCCGCTACCGATCGTCGGCCCTTCCTGAGACGACGAAAGATCTTCCGCGGCAACGAGATCTCGTTCCTCTTTAACGCCGAGCGCGCCAGCAGCGAGCAATTCGAGCGGTATGCTCGCGCACGCGATGTCGGGACTTTGAGAGGCCGACGATGACATACCCTCGATACTACCACCCCCACCGTTGCTACCGCCGCTTCTACCACCTCCAATTTCGTTAACCTCGTGGTGTTGCTGATGGTGGTGGTGATGATGGTGATGATGCTGCTGCTGCTGTTGCTGTTGTTGCTGCTGCTGTTGCTGTTGCTGCTGCTGCTGCTGCTGCTGCTGCTGCTGCTGCTGCTGCTGATGGTGGTGATGGTGATGATGGTGCTGGTGATGATGATGGTGGTGGTGTCTACCCCCACCAAGCACGCTTCCCCTACCACCTTCTCCTCCTCCTCTTCCTCCGCCACCCCCACAATTTCCATTCGAGCCACCCCCACTGCCGCTGCGGCCATGCGTAGAGACCGCCGCCGGGGAATCGACCGAGTCCAGTAATTGCTCGCTATGCGATTGATGATCGGCTATGTCCCCTATACCTTCCATTTACGCACATCTAGTTCGGGTAGGCGCGCACTCGCTCGCTGTCGTGACTGGACACACACCGCGTGCACACTACGTAACCGGGATTTTTCAAATTAACCGCGCACCCTTCTTCTTTCACACTTTTCCCCCCTAATCCTTTTCCTTCTCCTTCTCCCTTGTCTTTCACAGTTACTTGTCCGCTCAAGCAAGCAAGCAAACAAGCGAGCTAGCGAGCAACCAACGAAACAAATACGCACGCACTGATTCAAAAAGTCTTTTACTATTTCGTTAAACTCGAAACGTGCCTCGTCACCGATCTTCTCGTCGTCACTGATCAGCACCTTGGCAACTGGCACCTTGGAAACCTTTCAAGGCTCCCGCTCTCAGCTCTAACACCTTCGTGAATCTCGA